CATCTGATTTTTTTGATTCCTTTTTCAGAGCTTTTCGGAACAAGTATATTTTTTGGATCAGTAATGAAAATTTAGACAATAGCTGATTATACATTTTAGACTGGTCATATATTTTAGGCTGGTTATTTTTTATTGGTACCTGTTTTTTTTACAGATGAATTATATATGGTCCATCTATTATTTTCTTCATCATAACCATTTTCCTCATTATCTGAACCTGAAAATATGTTTTGAAAATTTATAAATGTAAGAGGCTTAAAATAAGCAGACTAATTGAAATTAGATCATACTATCTGTCTATTAGGACAACTACCTTTGCTATAACCTGTTTCTCCACAAATATCACATTTATGTATATTTAGTTTTTAAAATTGATTGATTAATTGATTTATTGTATCATGAGTTTCATTTATTTCCTCCTCTACTCTATCAATTCTAGCAAAGATGTTGTTTCGCTATAGGCAAGATTTTTAAAAAGGTTTTATAGAATAATTTCTCTCTAAATCTTCTGTACTAAATATATCTAAATTTTTTAAGTATTGTGATAAGTGATAATTTCCTATATCTTCTTCTGTTTGTAATAAAGATGGTGAACCTCTTGGCTGTCTAATTGGTTCAATAGTTTGAGAAGCAGATACTTGAATTTGCTTAGCTATTTGAGATTCTAATTCTATAACTTTCTTTATTAATATCTGGTTTTTAGTTTTTTGTTATACTAGTGCATTTTGGATTACTTTTTGCATATCTTCTAAAGAAATTGTATACCTTTGCTGTTGAAAAGCTGGGGTAACTAGTAGTAAAGAATAGAATACTGAATTTATACTAAATAAGGCTTGCTCTTGGTAGACAATTTGATTTGATTTCTCTGGAATTCTTCTACTTAAATTTTGTCTATGCTCTAATCATATATTTTTTAGTTTGATGAAAAATGTATTAATGCCTACAGGATTAGTAATTCTTATCCAAGTATAAAAATCATCTGTTAAGTAGCTTTTAAAGAATCCTATAACTTGTGTATTATTGTTTGCCACTCTAATAATAATGGTCTAATTCTAGCTTCATAAGTATCAGGAGTATCATAAAGTTGATATCTTTCTTGATTCAATCTTTGAATAGCCGATTGTTGATTTCTAACAGTCTCTTGCTAATATTTTGCTCTCATCCAAGCTCATAATATATCTAAAAAATTTAAAGCTAAATTTTCTACTACAAGACTATTATTTGCTAGTACTGATGCATATTTTCTACTCATCATAGATTTTAAAATATTATACTTGATTGCATTGTTAAAATTTTTTGCATTTGTATTCTCAAGAACTGTCATATGCTCTTCAAGATATGCTTATGATTAAATAACTTTATCCAAGTAATTATCAGGTGGTTCTTGGCCTATATAAGATTGAAATTTTGCAAAAGCAGAGGCTATTAATTTTAATACTAATAAACGTTTAGCATCAGCTATATTTATTTGATTTGGTAGATTATTATATAGCACCAAAATTTGTTGATTTAAATTTAAAATATTTTGGCGCTCTGCATGAGTCTTATTTTTCTACTTTTTATATCATTTATATAATCTATCTTGATTATATTCTAGCAAATCTTTATTGGCTCTGTATTGCTATAAATAGAGGATATTTCGCTAATATAATAACTAAAAAGCAAAATTTTCATATAGCAATTCACCAATACAGGTTTGCTTTCTTGCTATATTATTTATCATTCTGTTTACTTGATTCTGAGCATTAGCCTATAACTGATTACTCTTCTGCATTGCTTGATCTTGTTTCTGTCTGTATGTATCTTAGTCCTATTATATATTTACCAGATCTTGTTGTAGGTTGGTATATTTATGTCAGATTGATCTTGTTGATCTTTTAATTTGATTTGTTAAAACAGTTCTATATATTGCTATATCATTTAGAGATTGGTCTATAGCATCAGCTAACTCAGCTATTGTATTTATATTATCATCAGAATTATACAAGTCTGAAGAATTTTTATCAGAATCAGATTCATTTTCATTAAAATTTCATGCTTGTGTATTTTGTAAAGCCTCTCATATATTTGTAAGTTCTAATCTATCTTGATATCTTAATAATGCTAAAGCAAAATTCTAACAAAGTAGGTCTGTAATACAATTTTTTGCTGAGTTATTTTGTTGATCTTATTTATTTGATTAGTTCTTATCATATTTATTTCTTGTTTAAGTTATTTATTTTTATCTACTAATCTTGTATAATCTTGTGCTTTTGAAGTATTACCAGCAAATTTTGATAATTCACGAATTCTGGTTTTTAATTTTGTCTCTCATTCATTAAACTCTGTTATTAATTTATTTTTATTAGTAATTTCTTTGTTTTTCTTTTTATTTTCTTCTTTGAGTTGGTAGATAATTCTTTTGAGTTTTGAGATTTCTTCTAACAATTCTTCTTTGTCTTGTTTAGAAAGTTTAATAGTATTATTTAGTTCTTCTTCAAGAAATCAAATTCTCTTTTCATGTATACCAATAGCTCTTTCCAAGTTGTATACGTATTTTTCAATATCTCTGTTTGATTGAGCCAATTGTGAGATTACCTCATGAAGCTTTTGAATAGTTTATTGTAATTTTTCTATATTTTTTATTACTATAATAAAACAAAGAAATAGCGAAACTTGTAATTTATATTGACTCACAGAAGGCTTGTGATTTGAATAAGAAGATTACTTTACAAAAATTTATTATAGGTCTAAAGGTTATTATCAGACTGCTAAAAAAATACGTGATGTATGTAAAAAGACTAAACATAATTTTTTATTAGCTGAGGTATGTAATTAGTTAAATAAGCAAGCTGTTTTTCAGATTCATAAGCCTTGTCCTAAATTTATTTAATATTCTTCTTTTAATAGAATACAAAATTTAAATGAAGTTCATCAATCTGATACTATACCTATGCCTTATGATAATATTAGCAACCGAATTTACAAGCACAAAGAAGTAATAAAAGATGTAGCAACTAGATTTTATAAAAGTTATGCTTTAACTAATAAGTCATTGATATCATTAGCTAAAATGTTTATAAAAATTTATGGTGATCTAGATTGCCCTCTTATCTGGCCTAAAGTTTTAATCATCGATAGAAGAACTGAATTTATAGGTGAATATAAGGATTTATTACTTAGTTATGGCATAAAAATTTAGTATATTTACTTCAAACATGGTGCAGCTATTGCTAAACGTGACCATCAAGAATTTGAAAAGCATGCTTATTTTTGGCAAAATGCTGTAAATTTTTATTTACCTTTATCTGAAAGGTGCAAAGCATAGATTAAGAGACTTCATATAAATAATGATATTTTTAATAATACTCCTACTTGCTTAATCAAAATACCTTTTAATGAAGCTGTAAAAGAGCATTAAAAGAAGAAAAATAATAGCCAGACCTTTAGTAAAGTATCAAAGACCTATTGGATATAATAAACTACTTTTATCTAGCTATACTGAAGTTTATCATTTTTTAGAACCTGGTAAATTAGAAGGTTAGAGAAGAAGAGCAACCGATTGCAATTGGTTTCCCAAAGTTTTTACAATCGATTCTTATTTAATAAAAGAAAATCAACCTATTTTCTATAAGCTTTACAATAGTTCTAGACACTTATTTGTAAGAGAAGAACTCCAAATTATTTCATCAGATACAGTATTACCACCCAAATATATTTTAAGCATTAGACTTTCCTCTTCTCTTTTCTACTAGATATATTATTTGTTTGAAAGCATTGCTTAAATAGTCATTAATTTTAGCTCGATTGTAAACTATAATTTGTTTATTTTATAACTAATCACTTCTTAAACATTTTTTGTTTTCATTTTCAGGCTTATTATTTAAGAAAAATTTACCTAGTGAGTATAAAGCAAACTTGAATTATCTGTGTTTATCAAATTCTTTCTCAAGTAAATCTTTGAATTGCTTTCTTCAGCTTTCTAAAAAATTTTATATATAACTTTTATTGTCAGAGTAAGATCCGAAAACTTTTGCATGATACACTGCTATAGCCCTTCTTTTAAGTGCTATATCTAATTCTTCTTGCTCTCTAAATTCTAGATCTCTTTTTTGTTTATCAGTAATTTCTTCGAAGCAACTAAATTCTTCATTAATCAAATTTTTAGATTTATTATCTTTTCTAAAGAATTGTGTTCTAGGTTCAGGACTGGCTTTAAGTTCTGATATCTTTTTATATTTATCTAACTTCTCTTTTGTAGGTGGTCTAACTGCATCTTCGTCATATTGCTTAAGATCATGAAAAAGAGTTTGACAGCTATCTAAATCATTAGATAGAAAAGGTTCAACATCTAAACCAAGTTTTTTTATCTTTTTACTAACCTTTTTTCTCATATTCTAAAATGTTTTTCAGGCTTGTGAGTATTTGAGTTTACTCACCTTTCAGCCTCCTTATTAGTAATATAATCTCTACCAAGAATAGGAATCAGAGCTTGCTTTTCTCTTTGATCATATCTATTCGCTTCATTATTAGATAATATAGAAGAAATTGGTAATGTTTCAGAAGCTGACTTTGTAGTTTAATTAGAATTTTGAATAGTTTCCTGATTAATAGTTCGAGGCTTACATAAATTCTTTCTTTTAAGGTGCTTACAAAGTTTATTAGAATTTGTTAAAGTTTTTCCACAATAATCACATGTTGTATTTTTCTTATCACTTCTACTATAATGTTAACTCTTACTGTCACACTATTATTTACTTATATATTTTTTTTTAATTAATTATTTCTATACCTTTCACTTTTAGATTATAGAGTTATTGCTAAAGTGCTATTTATTAAAGTACACTAGCTATTGCAAAAAACTAAAACATTAACTATTTATTAATTAATCTGAATAATCAGTAAATATTCTTGTCCATTTCTTTGCAATATTAAAAAGGTTTATTGGAAAGCTTGTATTAGACCTAAAAGATGCTGATTTTATTAGAAATCAAAAATTCAGATACTGTATTCTGATTGCAGAAAGCCAATTGCTTCTGTTTGTAGCTGATACCTATTATATATTAGAGGCTATTATATTATCCAATACTATGATAGACTTCGATCAAAGATATAGGAAAGAACTTATGAATAAATAATAGTTGGGCTTGCAAATCTTAATATCACTCTTTGCAAGAAATGTCTCTATTTGATAAAACTAGAAGAGAGGGGATATTGTACTAGATATCAGCCAGAATAAGTATAGCAAATCATTTAATTTTAGCCAGAATTTTGGTACAATATCTAATAAATATTTGCTAAATTTTTATTAGACTATTAAAGTTTTATAATTAATATACTATTTGATAAGCTAGCTTGTGTAAAATCTATTCTTGACTAAGAAAAAGTTGGGACAAAAAATTTATTAGACTTATTTAATAATTATGCTATTTAATGAGCTAGCTTGTATAGAAGCTTTTCTTGTCTATAAAAAAATCATTAGATTTAAAAGATCACATGAATTTTTGTATAACTTATTTATGATTTATTTTTCATATAACTTATTTATAAAATTTGTATGATTTATTTTTCATATGATTTAATAAATATAACCAAAAATCAATATAGTTCTTGGCTTTGGAGGCTCTTAGAATGTTTTCCAGATATGCTAATAAATTTAACAAAATTGATAAAGTTTTTGGCCTTTGAAAGTCCTTAGAATATATTTTTGATATATTATTTTTCATATGATTTAATAAATTTTACCAAAAATGATATAGTTCTTGGCCTTTGGAAGCTCTTAGAATATGTTTCTAATATACAAAAAATCACTATAATTTTTGGCTTTTAGAAGCATCCCAGAGACCTAAATATAATATAGTTCTTAGCCTTTGGAAGCTCTTAGAATGTATTTCTAATATGCAAAAAAAATGATATAACTCTTGATTTTTAGAAAACTCAAAGGCCCAAATACGATATAACTATCCCAAACCCTCAAAATGATATTGCGTCATAGTCTTAGCTAGATATAGTAAAATTCAGAATACAGGAGTAGCATCAGTACAGATATGATCTTTCTCTACTGGCTTAGTGGTTTAATAACAATGCTTCTCTAAAGCAGAAGGTACTCTGACTGCAAGTATTGATCTCGATCATAGCATACTAGTAGTACAACTAGAATATATTTGGGTATCTATTAGAGTAGCTAGATAAATATCAGATAGCTGATTAGATTAGCATAGTCTAATAGAGTATAATATGATTTAAAAATTATATATATACTTATGAGCATATCTAATAAAAGCTTCATCAGCTTTTCTAGCCAAGTTAAAAAAAAATAAATATAAAAATAAATAAAATACTCAATTTTTTTTATTTCTATTATATTAATATTTTTGAGTTAATACAATATTTTAATTTTTTTATTTATCTTTTTATTCTTATTCTAGTTCAATAAAATTTCTAATTATACGTATTCTTTTTTCTTTTTTGCAAAATTTGATAATATTATTATTTACAATTCTATTTTTATAATAATATTTGTCATTAATTAATCAACTAGTATTTTCTATTTCTGATGATTTTTGATAATAAAAAATACCTTATATTTACCTTTTTCAACTTCAATATCTTTAAAATAATAATAATAAACAATATATATTCCTTTAGTATACTCTATATATGCTAATTTTTGATAACAAAATTGAATATCTTATATTTATCTTTCTTGACTTTAATTTTATTAAGATAAAACTTTATGTTTAACTTCAATTTTGTTATTTATTTTTTTAATCAGCAGATTTGTAAAAATAAAAGATACTATATGTTTATTCATATTAATAACAATTTTATAATAATAAAAGTATCTGATATTAATTAATCTGCTAATATTATTTATATCAGCAACTTTATGATAAGATATAATAGCTTTAAGTTAGTTTATTATATTAATAACAATTTTTAGTATTGAATATTTCTTTAGTATAACCCAAATTAGCTTTTTGAACATTTGAATACAATATTGTAAATATTCTTAATAATAATTAGTTGTAAATTATTACAATATATTTTATTTGAAGCTATATTCTAATTTCTTAATTATAAAATATAGATTTTTCATATAAATTTTTTTATATAATTATTCCAAATAAATAAATATTTAATACTATTATATATTGGTTTTCATTCAAAATTTTTGATATTATATTATTGTCTTATATTACTTTTCTTTTATCAAAAAATTTTTTTGAAGATGTATCAATTGCTAGCAGCAGAGACGATTGTAATCAATTTTTTTATATGATATATATCAATTATTATAAAATTCATTAAATTTTATCAAACTTTGATATAGAATTTTTTGATAACTATCAATTAAAATTGGTTAAAATTTTTATTATAAATAGTATTGGTATTTAACTATAATATATAAAAATTTTAGCTAATTATAATTACTAGTTTACAAGAAATCACTTGTATACAATAGTTAATTTTTTTAAAAAATTAACTATCATATACAATCGATTACTTGTGAACTAGTGATTATAATTAGCTAAAATTTTTATATAAATATCAATACTATTTATAATAAAAATTTTAACCAATTTTAATTGATAGTTATCAAGAAATTCTATGTCAAAGTTTGATAAAATTTTAAAAATTTTTGCTATATAGCATTATTTATTTACTATTATTTATATTTAGCAGGGGTGATATATATTGATTATAATATAAAAAATTGTAATTGATATATATTCTAAAAAAAAATTTTCTAATGTTGTTTGAGTAATCTGTATTTATAGTGAAAAACTAATTTGAACTTGCATATATTTAATGAAATTAAAATTAGAAAGCCTCATAATAAATTAGCAAGGACCCCAGATATCTCTGATATAGATCATAACTGAGTTTTGACCAAATTTGACCAAATTTGCTAAAAACTAAAAAAACTATATTTTCTTAAATAACTTTTGATCTAGTGATTAGAATTGAATAAACTTTTTTTTGTTAGATGCGCCTCACTAAGAGCTTTTATTTAAAAAAAAGTTTATCCAAATTGGACTACTGAATGCTAAGATAATTGCAAAAAACCAATTTTTTAATTTTTAAATTTTAGGTATTTTGCTAAAATACATAATGTATAACCCTATACTATATATCCGGCCTAATTAGCATGCTAGTATTAAAGCTATAAAATGTCACTATTAAATTTTTATTTGTCAAACTGCAAGAATGTAGATCATTTGTTTATTCATTTTAAATTTGTAAATTATCAATCATTTGTTTAATTTGTTTAAAACCTGTATTATCTGTTTATAAAATATGCAGATTGCAGATTAATCTGTATAAATAAAGATTTGATCTTGTTATAATCTAGAAAATCTGAATTTGAACAAATTACATTACTATGCTGGTCTGCAAAATAAAAATTTTAAAAAGTTTAACTTGTATTTTACTATTTTTTAGAATATTTGGTTTGCAATTTTACTAAGATTTTAAAATTTTTGTATTTTAACAGGCTTCTACTTAAATATTTTTATAAAATTTGGTTTATTTAAGGGTAGGGTGTACAAATTTTCAATTTCATATAAAATAGATTGTACATCAACTTTGTGTATATGATATCATATGATTTACATGTAAATATCATATGATTCGACCA